TGCCTCGACCGGGGATCGAACCCACGAAATCACGCATCCGAGACGGACGCTCTATCCACTAGTCCACCGGAGCGGTTTTATGCGATTGGTGTAGTGATAGCAATAACATAATATAAAAGACAGCATTATTATGCATGCATTTCATCATGTTGTTTATGGGAACATGCTAACCAGAAACAGAAAAAAATACAATTTAACAGTTACCTCCTATTTGCATATATATATATATATATATATATATATATATATATATATATATATATATATATATATATATATATATATATATATATATGTGTGTGTGTGTGTGTGTGTGTGTGTGTGCGTATACATACATACATACATACATACATACATACATACATACATACATACATACATACATACATACATACATACATACATACATACATACATACATACATACATACATACATACATACATACATACATACATACATACATACACACGATTAAAAGGTACAATCCATAACTATTTAGTAAACATCTGATAAATAAATGATATATACGAGCATTTGACTATAAAATTGAAGTCTTTTTATGATTTGCCTTTAAATTGAATTGTTTGTATACATTTTACAGAAGTTCAAAGGGCCTCGAGTAGCAGACAGAGTGGTCTAAGATGTTCATCTTAACAGATTAATGACATCTCACCACTGTCTGTTTGGGTTCGAATCTCGGGCTCGGCCAACGTGGGTGTATAAGAATGCTTGCCATTAGGTTCACAAGGGTCAATGGTTCTCCCCGGAGCTTTCGCGGGTTCTTCTTCCACCAGATATACTTTTCGTCATGTATAATGTATCTTGTGCAGTTTTGGAAACGGGTGATGGCAATGCAGTTAAGTCTACGTTATTTGTTCTCTCATTTAGATTAATATCAATGTGACCAGGCAGTCAACAGTATAGTATAAAGTTTTCAGGTTTTTTGAGCAAATCATATATCTGTAAGAACAGATTTTCTAATGGACTGTTGAATTTCACATTTTGTCCAACTTTCAATTTGGAAAAAAAATCCGAATGATTAAAACATTTGTTTGGGGTTTTGTCTTTTGTTTTGTTTTTGTTTTTGTTTTGTTTTATTTTATAGAGTTTCAATATAATCCCAGGATTCGAGAGGCTGCCATAGCACCTGCCACCTTGTTGCCATCTTTAAAGCACTTTGCATACAGGAACATGCGAAGACCTTCTATACTGGCAAAGATCAAATATTTTAATTCAGGGATTTTTGTAACAAAGAATTTTTCAGCGCTTGTAAGATTTAGTTTGGTGATTCTAAAAGAGGACGAATTCGTATGATGCAAAGTGGAATGACGAAACCTGAGTTTTAGAGTTACAAGGTTTGACAATTGATCCTCAATAAGACATCGTTTGTTTGGAATTAGATGAACGGGGGACATTTTGGTAATACTCTGAAGAGCTACTCTCGTACGTTTGAAGTCATGGATTAATCACTTCATCATAAAAAGCTTTCTAAAGCGGAAGTTGTCAGTTCTCCTAGACAACGTCGAAGTCCCTGAATCTTTATTAGATTAAACATATGCAAGTAAGATTTACTGTCTGATCGGTATACAATCTAGCCATAGTCAAGGTTATATCTTACTAAAATAAGATGTTTCGTTTCTCATCTACCCTACAATCTCTCTATGCAGCGAACATTACTTTTAGCATTTATCCTTAAAGTATTTAATACGCGGAGTGTAATTTAATTTTACAGTCAAAACTAAGTCCTAAAAATGCGTAATCTTCCATACAACAGATAAGTGAAAAGTCAATAGCTAGCTTTAGGTCATTGGGATTTCACTGTAATCGGCAGATTTGCATTCAAATAGTTTAGATGTCGAGGACTGTAACACGTTTTCTTCTGTCCGTTTTTTTTTTTAAATCACTCTTTCTAGGCTTGTCTCAACAAAATGAATGCTGTTTGATTTAAAACAAGTCAAAATGTCATTGACATGTATAATTATCAGCCAGTTACTGAATTAAGACATTTTGATGCGGACTGCGACAACCGACAATTTGCTGCCCTGCAGCTCAATTGCATCATAATGACATTTTTCCTAAAAGGCTTACCCACCTGATTCCAAATTTATCTTTCAAAATGGGAGATAAAAAAGTAGTCCTTGACTGAACATGTTACCCATTCTTGGGGCTTTTTTTTGGGGTGGGTGGGAGGGGGGTTGAGTGGTGGTGGAGAGCTCAGAGTGGCACAGTGTTCTGAAGCGCTCACCTCAACGGATCACTGCCGTCTCATTTCTGTCTGTGTGGGTTGAAGTTTCGGGTTCGGCCATATTGGTTACTGAAGAAGAAGCATGCCAGTAGCTTCTCTGGGTCGTTGGTTCTTTACGGGATTTTCCCGGGTTCTTATTCCACCATTAATACTGATCGTCATGTATAGTCTATCTTGTGCTGAATATTGATTAAACCCTACAACAGAAACAACAACAATAAAATTTGCAGATGCTATGTATTCTTTCTGTGAAAAAAAAAAAGTTTCTCTTATGAATGCTTCAAGAATAACTAGTTGTTCAATTGTGTTTCTCTTGCGTCTGAATCGACATTTAAGGTCTGGTGGCGACCGCTCCGGTGACCTAAGTGATTAGATAGTCCGTCTCGAATGCGGTCGAGTGATACCAAAGACTTATAAAACAAATGGTGCTATCAGCTGCCTCGCTTGCCGCTCAACATTAAGAGGTTAGTGTAAGGACTGGTAGGCCTGATGTCAGAATAATGTGACTGGGTGGGACTTGATCCTGCATGATGGCCCAATGATCGTTGCAAGCTATCACAGAGCATACATCGTTGCGATATGACTGAAAAAATTGTTAAAGCTACGTTAACATCCAAAAGCACGCTCACACACATAAGGTCTGGTGGCAGGCTTCTGATATTTTTTTTTTGAAAAAAATTGAGATACCAGAGACGTCTATCATTTATAATTCTTTCCATAGTTTTCCAAATATTGTTTGTTCGTGATATGTGGCGGTAGTTGGATGGGTCGGTATGGTTCATTCCAGGTTAAGGTACCAATATCACTATTGCTTCTCAATACGACGATGAGATATTGCCGGTCTTCAAAGTGTTATTGAAAACGTTAGGTAGTGTAAGAATATCTGTATCAGGAAAGACTCTCAGAAAATGAATATTAGTCCAGCTGAAGAGTCACAGACTTATGAATGTGAATATCTGACATCACCGAAGAGTCAGGGACCTATGACAATGAAAATCTGACATCGCCAAAAAGCCACTATCCTACGGGAGTGAATATTGGTCCTGCTGAAGAGTTACAGACTTATGAAGGTGAATATCTGACATCGCCGAAAAATCACTGTTCTATGAGGGTGAATATCTGACATCGCCGAAAAGTCACTGTTCTATGAAGGTGAATATCTGACATAGGCAAAAAGTCACTGTTCTATGAGGGTGAATATTTGGATCCGCTGAATAGTCACTGGCTTATGAAGGCGAATATCTCGATCGCCGAAGAATAACTAGTACCGCTGAAGAGTCTCAAGCTTAATCAAGATAATCTTATAATCCACTAAGAGCAATATTTTGGTAATCTAGAGGATTAACATATTTTAAAGAACATTTGCTTTTAGGATTGCGATACGGCAGAACTTCACATAATAGTTTTGTTGAAATGAGGGTTGGGAGAAAGTGCGGACCCATGTCTTTGAAATCTCTGGTAGGGTCACGACCAAGTCATCGGAGCTTTTAAGTATTGTATACAGCTGTTTATATGTCAATAATTGTCCGTACCGAACTGCATACAAATTAAATACAGAAGCCAGCGTTCAACCTAGAAACACAGTATCTCCATGTTTTCCTCATTTTCTTTCCGATTATACGGCAAGCTTTGGCTTGGTATATACTTCATGATACGACGAGCTTTGGTTTGGTATCTACTGATGATTCGATGAGCTTTAGCTTGTTATAAACTAATGATACAACGAACTTTGGTTTGGTATATACTGATGATACGACGAGATTTGGCTTGGTATGTACTGATGATGCGACGAATTTTGGCTTGGTATGTACTGATGATACGATGAGCTTTAGCTTGTTATGTACTAATGATACGACGAGCTTTCGCTTGGTATATACGGTATTCATTCAGATTTCAACTGTTGGCTTAGTGCTTAAATGTTTCAATAACCTTTCTTTCATTCCAAGATGGGGTATTTGCAAGCACGATCAAAAAAGTGTTGTTAACAGGCGTAGGGGTCACAGAAGTGTTGATATTTAAGGGTTATTGGGTTCAATAGTTTCGAAATGACCAACTGTCAAATTTGATTCCAAGATGGATTAAAATGTCTCCACTGCGACTTGTTCAATTCCATATTTACATCAGCCCTTGAGGACCGGAGTAGCGCTTTTTGATGTACAATGGAAAGCGGTCACTAGAACAAAGGTTGTCACTAACTTCCCACCGGAAGTTGAGTAGAAGAGATGAATTGCAGGTGGTTAGATCCAAGAACGAATACGGTCCTTCAGCAGGATGCAGTTATGTATATGACTAAATAAAACTGTAGATTATGTTTGAAGCAAAGTGTTTTATCGTCTTCCCTACCTAACATTTATCTTCAGAACCTCAAAAAATGTGTAGGCCGTTCAAGTCGCCAAATGAATCAAAAGGTCAAGATTAGATTGATTGACTGTAGCGGAAGCTCATAATTTATGTATATGGTTATAACCTGGGATATAGTTGTTACATTAATTTGGTCAGGAGGAGGGCTGCTTCTTATTATCATGGACATTCCTCAAGCAGGCCTCATCAGTCTTTTTAAGATGTTGTAGGTTATGTTTTTCTTTAAAGATTAACTATCGTTTCTTTTTAGAAAGGTCTTGAGGGCAGACAGTTGTTGACTTATGTTCTTTAAGTTTAAGACTAATTTCATCAATATTTGCCTTTACACCATAGCAATTCCATTGTACCATTGCGTTTGAAATATTTGCGGAAGAGTCGAAGTACGGGACTTCAGGGAATTTCTCTTGCCGGTTATCATGGGGATTTCTTTGCCCGATATTAGTGTGATTTCCAATGTCCACACTA